ACACACACACACACACACACACACAAACGCTCTCTTACAGACTGCTCTACATAATTAAGAAGGAAGTGGGGGGCGAGGCAAGGTGAATAAACTAGGAAGAAAACCCTATGAGACGGTGTGAAAATGAAGCCAGACTCTGGAGCTCAAACCCCCACACCCTAGGCTTGCGATCAAATTACAGAGCAATGTCCAACTCAAGGGCAACAACTGGCAATGTCACCATTTTTTATCAGCTAAAATGAAAATACGTAAGAGCCCCAATATGCAGACTAATATGTTACAGATTTTTAGAGACCATGTGTCACTAATAAACTAAAATTTACTCCAAATATATCTTGGCGTAAATTATAAGGAAGCCACCATGTATTACTAAGATGCACATTCTGATGTGAGTGAGCCCAAACACAAACACACACCACTCTCTCTCTCTCTGACTCGGGAGGACAAATACCCTGGGAGTTATTCCCATGAAGAAGTATACTCTTACGCTTGTTACTGTTGCTGTGGCCACCATAGAGACTCGGTGTGTTAGAGCCACACTGCCCCCTAGGGTTTTCCTGACTGCAATCTTCACCAAAACAGATCTCCAGGTCTTTGTTCCTAAGTGCCCCTGCGTGGGTTCACATCCCCAATTCCGCTATCCAGAGAACTTTATGCAACACCTAACACATCTGGTGAAAAAGATGAAGAGTTTAACCAACCGATTCTCTGACAGAACAAATTCTATACATCCATGTATGTATAAATATGAACTACAAACACTTCCACTATATCAAAGTATATATCATTTTTGTTTAAAAAAAAAAAAAAAAAAAGCACAGAGAGGCTGTTCTCCTGAGAGTCACACACTAGCTTATGCTGGGCCCATTCCAGGCATGCTCACGGTCATGGCTGAAAGGCAGACTTCTTTGATTGGCACCAGTCCTTCTGCCCTGGGCAGGATGTAGTCAGTCACCTAAGACTTGACTGGGGCCGGCAGGTGGGTTCATTCCCAAGGCTGGCAGGTTGGCATCAAAAACCTCTTGTCACACAGCTGCTTGAGTGTCGGAACGGCATGGTGGTCGGGTTTGTTCACAGCAGTCACCCAGAAAGCAGGCAAGGGTTGGAGGAGATGGATGGAGCTCTCTTTGATGGCTTGGAGGGATTATTCCGAGTTGGAATTGACTTGATGGCAGTGAGCCGAGGAGAGATGTGCCTGCTATGTTCCCGAGGGCAAGTTCCTAGGTCTGAATGACAAGGAAATGGAGCTCCATCTTTGGGAGCAAAGACTGTCAAAGACGATGGCAGCAGCATTTTAAACATCCACCTTGCTCAGGAAACACCACACTAGCAAGCGAGTGGGAGGCAGAAAGAAACGACCATGAAGAGGAACTTTCTAAGGGACAGTACATTTCACGGACTAGTCAAGTGAAGGCTCAAAACATCATGGTAGCACAGGAAGATGGAATGGGTTGAAACAGACCCCCCCACCCCGGTTCAAGTAGTTCACAGAATTGCGGTGTTTTGTTTCCTCTCCTCTTCTTTCAAATGTCCTTACGTCCAACGTGGGCAGTAAGAGAACAATTCCCGAGCAATTTTCAATCTAAGCCATTTCACTGAGCTAACTATTTTTTCTGATCAACCTCCCTGATTACTATATGTTTACTAAGGAATGCAGATAAAGCTTAGGTGTCAAGATAATAAACGTTTACAATCTTTCAAATTATTTGGGGGTGGGGTGGGGACTAGTAACTGCAAACCAGAAATAAGTTAGGTTTCTTAAAGCCAAGAGATTCGGATGGGTTGTGTGTCACTTCGGCACTGTGAGAAAACAAGAAAATTAGGAAAACACATTGGGAAACAGATCCCAAGGTTCAGCCCCTTGTGGCTTCTCTGGATGGGGCCAGACGCCTTTGGACCGGGGCAGCCGGATTCCATGAGGCATGTATCATGGAAAGATCTGCACACACTGTTTTACTCATCTCGCTATTTTTTAGAAATTAAATGTCCCAGTGCTGCTCACACGGGCTGACCAAACCCATTTGCTGTTCTCTGCCCGACTGCAGAAACCCCATCAGGACCAGCTGTCAGTGAGGGAGCCGAGTGATGCCCACACTTCCATGCCATGGGCATAATAGCTGCTATCCAGGATTAGAAGGCTGGGAGGTTTCATTCATATCAGTAATTTTTAAGCAGCTATTGATGGGGCACTTCCTAAGTACCCACCCGTGAGCAAGCAGTGGTTCCTTCAACACTTGCTGAGCCAGGAAGACTAAGTGCTGATAGCAGTGAAGACTATAGCTGGAATGATGCAGGCCCTACAGAGTGGCTTAGGCGTTGGACTGTTAACTACACAGTCAATGGTTCCACCCCACCAGCTGCCACCAGCAGGATGAGGCTGGCTGCTTCTGTAAAGACTTACAGCCTAGAAGACCACAAAGGGGGTTCTCCTCTGTCCTATAGTCTCCATGGGCCAGAATCAACTCACTGGCAATGAGTTTGGTGGGGAGCATTTGATGAATTATCAAAAAGTGAAAGTAAACATGTAAACACACACACAAAATAAATTGAACAATAGCACCTCAGAAATCTCCCCTTGGGCTACCTGGCTATTTTCCAGAGGGCGAATATCTACAAAGGCTCCTATGGGTGTTGCTGTTAAGTGCGGTCACATAGGTTCCTGTGTATCATAACTCTAGGTACCACAGAACAAACTGCTGCCTGGTCCTGGGCCATCTTCACAATTGTTTATGTTTGAGCCCATTGTTGCAACCACAGTGCCAATCAATACATCTCCTCTAGCATCTTAACAAGCTATGGACAGTGTTTGAGAAGAATGGGAATTCGAGAACACTTCATTGTGCTTATTTGGAACCTGTACAGGACCAAGAGACAGTCATTCAAATAGAACAAGGGAATAATGTGTGGTTTAAAACCAGGAAAACTAATAAGCTATAAATAAAGCACATAGATTTTAGACCAATTTGTAAAACAATAATTGATTGCTATATAACTTGACATTTGCACTTTATCTTAATTAGAAATTAGCATTTTACTAGAAATAAACAAATTGGGGGAGGAGTTAATGAGTCTTTTGAATCGATGAATGCAGAATTTGATGGTCTGATATGTCACCCCCCCCCACGGTAATTCACAATAAAAAATTGAAAGGAAAGAAAATTGGGAGAATTATCATGGTATTAGGGTACAAAATGTATTAACACTGAAGATTACATACTTTTAAAGCCTACAGTTTTAAAGAAGAGCGTTGACTTAGACCACTGGTTCATTCTCTGCTGTGACTTGGGGAAGGGGCAGGGTAAAGTAACTGAGGGCTGAATTTTGCTGGTTCCACATTCCTTTCAGAGACATAATTTTGACAAGAAAATTAGGAAGAACGAGCATTTAAACTCCTGTGATACTTACCTATTTAACAAGCCCACCACCCTCTTCTCTCAAGTTCACCCTGACTTTCAGTGACCCTGTTACCAGGCTTCCTCCTAAGGTGTTTCTGAGTGAACTTCAGCCCATTAGCCATTGGCATCCGGAGCCCAGGGGATTCCATCAACAGTCCTGAGAGAGCGCATCCACCGCCTAGTTTCACAGGTACAGGGAAGCAAACTGCTCAGCGTTCCCTTGCCAGTAGGCAGCAGAGGAGGGTTCATACCCAGGCAGGTCCAACTTCAAAGCTCATTTTCTTTCCCGATACTTTGCCGCCTTCTCCTCCAGAGTTTTTTGTATGAGGGGTAACTTCATAAAAAACTGGCCCAGGTGGGCAGGGAGCTGGGGTTACACCAGCAGTAACAAGATGTGAATCAGAGACTACCATTTCAGGTTCCCTGTTGCTCCGTTCCTTCCCTGGGGATCTCTGCTAGTTCCCATTGTTTGTCTCTCGACTCCACTGACAACATACTTTGATCTTCCAGTTGATGAAGCCAACTTCAGATTTACTCAGGCTCTACAGAAACACCTCAGCCTAAGGATCTGAACTTTACTTTGCCTGCTCCTTCTCACTTTTGCCCCTGCCTGTCACCAAGATTAACTGTCAAAAAAGATGCCCACGTGTCTAACTGAATTACAGCCTGACCAACTACACAACGTTTAAATCTCTCATGTGCCTTACATAAAAACCTATCTGCAAATCTATGACGCTTTTCAACCTATAATAAATGCACTGCAGCAACTATGAATGGCAAGAGAAACTTCACCAGTGTCCTTGCAGCCCTATTCATAATGGTTGAAAGGTGGCAAAAAACCCAGAGTGAGCATACAATAGATGTGATGAAGGCAGTGTCCTGCTACTTGCTACAGCACAGATGAACCCTGAATACACCGCAAGGGAGTGAAATGAGTCAGCACTAGAGCCTGCTGTATCCAGAGGCAGACGCATGGAGGTTCAGGAGGCCTCACTGATTACAGGGCACCGGGCTTCTTAGTAATGATGGCAGAGTATTTTGGAAAAAGGACAGTGGCAATGGACGTGCAAAATGATGAGTGTAACCAATGTGATCTCTCTCTTTCTCTCTCTCACACACACACACACACACACACAATTTTATATAATCTCACTGCATCGAGTCAATGTTGACTCAGAGATCTCCTGTGGGTTTCTGAGACTATAACTGTTTAAAGGAATAGAAAGCCCAGTCTTTCTCCAGCAGAGCTGCTTGATGGTTTTGAACTGTGGACCCTGCAGGTAGCAGCCTAACACAGAATGCTATACTACTAGGGGTGGTGGTGGTGGTGGGGTGTGTGTGTGTGTGTGTGTGTGTGTGTGTGTGTGTGTGTGTGTGTGTGTGTGTGTGTCACAGGTCTTTTTTTTTTTTTTTTAAGAATAAGCTTTTTTAAAAGGGTATACGGAAAACAGGGCTTTTCCCCTTTCTCTTTGAAAACAGAGGCAAGAGAAAAGTGGAACTACTTTGGCCTGCTGAATTCTCCGCTTGTATCAGGCTTCTGTAAATATAATGCCTTGCAAGGCACACTGAAGACACAACAGAAAGCCACCCGCAGTGGTCACTTACCTTGACCGGAATTGTATATCGCCTTTACAGATTTCTTTACTTTCTGGAGGGCCGTTCTATCTTGGTCTAGAGCCTAAAAGAGAAAACAAACAAGAAAAAGTGTGGCGTTAGAAAAATACACAAATTGAAAAACTCCTCCACCGCGGCCTTAGTTTCGTTTTCCCAGGAACCTTGCACGTTTCTTTAGTCAGAATGTTGACCAGCACACTCATTAGACACCAGACGTGTCCTCAATGCGATTCATCGTGCTTTCAGGCTGGCTGCAGAGTCACAACATCCACAGAAGCAAACAGCCCCCCAGAAGCCGGGGGAAATGGATGATGAAGGAGGTGGCAGTTAGTCAAGCAGCATGCTCAGCCACACACAGGAAAGAAAGCACCAGAATCCGGAGACACCAGCAGAATTTCCTTCTCCCAAAGTGTTTAAAACCAAGTAAGGGAAGAAGGTAAACCTCAGACAACATGACACAACAGCCGGGGAACAAGCACATGAGGCCACGGTAGTTTTGTGAGGAGAAGACATGTAGGGCTGTTAGAAGTGAGACTGACCAGAAGAGCTTGTCACAACATTTTTACACGAGGGTTCCTTTGAGTGTTAAAAACAGCATATATAAATAACAATAACACAATGGCAGCTGTGTTTTTAAAAAATGTCTCACTACAAAAAAGCAGATTGAAAAATGCTACTGTGGTACTGGAAAGGCTTTTAAATGATTTCGTGGGTGATGAATCAACACATGCTGGACATCAACCCACCTGTGCTAAGGGTGGATCTGTAGGGGGGTGGGGTAGACATCAACGCACCTGTGCTAAGGGTGGGTCTGTAGGGGGTGGGGTAGAGAATTGGGTGCTTATGTCGGAGCATGTCCTGTCTCTGCTGATTTCTTATTCCAGGTGCTGGATCACCTGTGCTCACGCCATGTGAAAACCCATCACACTGAGTCGTCAAGGATATGTGCTCTTTTCTAAATGTGCATTACACTTCAAAAATAAATTTAAACGGGAGAAATCAAAGTGGTGTTAGACACAACAGCAGTGCCACATTTACAAAGCACGCTGAACCGACTTCTTCAAATCACTTCAAGGCCCTCTGGGCTTCCTCCTGGGTCTGAAAGCCTGGGAGGCAATGGCAAACTGTGGAAGAGTCAGTTCATGGAAGCAGGAATCTCTCATCCCTTTCTCTGGGCCAATGGTCTTTCCTAGTGCCACTCTACAGTGGGTCAACAGCAGCATGTAGAGTGCTCCTCTCCTCTGGGCACTGGTGGCTGGCAGGTGGGCACCTCCCCACCCTAGGCTCAGAGCCCTGCACGGGTATGTGAACTTGGGCAGTGGGATCACAATGTTCTGTCCCTTTTCAGTGATGAGAGTGAAGCTGACCAGACATACTGACATTAACAGACAGCATCAAAGAAGAGGTGGGGAGGACACTGGTGGGGTCTGAATCCTTACTTCCAGTAATCCCTGGGTCATATGTCACTGCTAACTTCCTCTGCGGCCTCAGCACGTGAGACCAAGAACCCTTGTGCCCCAAGCCAGCTGGAGTTTCCATTCTGTCACTTGCCACCCAGGGCTCTCATCACACAAGAACTAAAGTTAGCCAAGCACTTTCTACACTCTGAGCATAATGCTGGGTATCAAGATAGACCAAGTAACTAAGAGGTTTGCTGTCAATAGCTTCTCTCTTTGCATGGGGTTTCTTCCCAAATCCTGTGAAGTACCACCTTCCTTTTTCAGAAAAGAAGATGTGCTAGGCCTTCAAGAAGTAGTATCTGCAGGCAAGGGGAAAGGCAGGAGGAGGCAGGGAAGTTTTAACAAACAATGCGACCAGTCACACAGCCAGAGAGGCTCGGGTCACACGCCATGTCTCACTGGCAAGTACCCGAGGGCCTACTTTTTCTACTAGGATAAAAGCAAGCTTTTCAGATGGTAACTCCAACACTACTTGCATCACGCCTAGAATTCACAGGCCATTTTTGTCACAGCCATGTCCTACCTGTGCTTCTATTTAATATTCTTCTTAAGTTATTCAAACGTGTTCTTACTTCCAGGCATTGTAAAAAGCCAGATGTTACTACCATGAAGGGAAAACATGGACTGACGTACCGCCATTAAAGGAGATGCCCCAAATATTACCAGGTAGACACAGAAATGCTCTTCTGAGCATCTGAAAATCATCATCATGATGTTTCCGTACTGATATGATCTGTCTTCTGTATGCATTCACCTAGCAAACACTTGCCAAGCACATTAAGTTATCTGGGGTTCAAGCGAGAACAGAAAGGGGTTGGGGAGATGGGAGCCAAGTGAAGACTGCCTGCTCATGCCAGGGGTGGCTTCGAGTCCTCAAACCACAGAGGTGATGCTGCTAGCAACTTGCTGTCTCCCAATTTTTCTAGAATAGCCAGGAAGGAAGAGAGGCACAGAAGAGAGCTGGACAAAGGAGCTGGCCACCCACGCCCTTAAGTGTGGGGTGCTGGGAGCCATCCTGTGTGGCAGCTACCCAGTTCCAGCAATGCCGGGAGGAGTCCTTGACAGGTAGCAGCTTGAGCAGCTGCAGACAGGGGCAGGGAAGCAGCTGGTGCAGCTTACGGGAAAGGAAGAGGTACAGATGTTATCACTCGCTGGTTTCAAGATTAATATGAGTTGGATATGGCTGGTGCACAAGGGAAATAATCAACCTACACTAAAACCTGATTTGCGTAACTTAAAAAAAAAACACCAATTAAAAAGGGAAAGTCTCTATGTCATCCACAAAGGTTTCAAATGGTTTGCAGGTGCCACTTCAGGCTATAAAAAGTGTCTTGAGGATTCAGGTTCTCCTGCATTCAAGCAGGCTTCCGTCAGAAACATTTAAAGCCTTCACCCCTGCATAGAAGGCGCCCTGGTGCCAACAAAGGCTAAGTGGTAGCGCCTTCTAAAAGACTAGTGGTCTGAACCCACAAGCTGCCCTGCTGCAAAAATATCTGAACCCACAGGTAGCTTTGCAAAGGAAAAGGGGCTTGGGGGCCGGCCCCATGAGAGAGTCCAGCCTCGGAAACGCTGTGGGGCAGGTCTACCCTGTTACTTGCAGTCACCAAGAGCTGGAATTGACTCTATGGCACACTACCCCTACACCACCACCACCACCACCACCACCACCACAATGGAGTGAATGAACACGTTTTGGGTTTGCATATGGCATTGTGGTTACAGATTGGGCTGCTAATCCCAAGATGAATAGTTCAAAATGACCAGGCACTCCAAGGGGGAAAGACAGGACTTTCCGTTCCCATAAAGGGCTGGAGTCTTGGAAACTCACAGGGGCAGTTCTACCCTGTCCTATAGGGTCGCTATGAGTCAGAATCGACTCAAAAGCAGTGAAGTTTGGTTTGAATACATCAAAGTTATGTCATTACTGTATTAAGTGTGAAATAATAATAAATGATGAAAAGGTTTGAAATCTTGTGACAATGACCAAAATGTGATACCAGGCATGGAACAAGCACATCCATACTGCTGTGGCATGGTCAGACTCGCTGGACAATAGCCATCTTTGAAAACACCACCATGGGGGCATTCCCTTCCCTGCTGGTCCAGACGTTTCCTGCTCCATCTCAAGCTGACTGCCCATCAAGCCTTGTGGGCTTCCTGCTTCCTAAGGGGACATTTGGACAACAGGACCAAGTAGCAATCTCCTCTTCTGAATCAGAGCTCCTGAGAACCAAACTTTTATGAATTCACCTCGCTTAAGCACACTAGATTTAATTCCCAAACTCTAGGCTATAGAACACCATTTTTGAGCATGGTGGAAAGTATTTTAAGGGGGAAAATACACACAGCAACAAAATTGGAAGACACTACATTCGAAGGACTCTGGGACTTTCAGGGAAAGAAACGTTTAACCTTAAACCCATTGATTCCCAATTACTATCATCACCCAAATAGTTCATTAAAAGAATACTCTTTCTGTTTTGTTCTCACAACTGGAGGAAAATGTTTGTTGGGGCATAAATACTGAATTTTAAAAATCAGTAAAGTCGGTGTTAATAAGCCGTGTTTATCAGCTAAAGAGGCATGGTGATTTTCTTTTTTAAAATTTAAACCATTTTATCGGGGGCTGTACAACTCTTATCA